GGCGGAGCGGGGCCGGGGCCCGGGGGTCCGGCCGGGGGTCCCCGCGCGGCACTCTCCGGGCTCCCGCCCGAGCTCCGGGAGCCGAGCCCCGAGCCCCAGCCCGGTGCTTGGTGACGTCAGGCAGCTGGCCCCGGAGTCTACGCAAATAATTTGCATAATGAGGAAGCGGCGACCAATCAGAGTGGGACTTGACCGGGCTCGGCCGGGGGCGGGAGGGGCTGGCGGGCTCACGCGCTGCTGCTCGCCATGGCAACCGGACCCTCGGCCGCCGGGTGAGCGCCGAGGGTGTGCGGGCGTGGCCGCGGAGAGCGCGTGTGCGCCCGGGACCGCGGGAGGCGAAGGAGCTTCGTCATGCGTGCTGCTGTCTGCAGGAGTCGGAGCTGATCCCCTCCGCGTTCGCGGGCACACACACTTCCCATAGCTGAAGTGTTTTCTGCGGGGGCGGATGGGGATTCCTCTGCTTCCCACTACCGCCCCTGGGACTGTGGCTCCCACCCGCGCCGTCCGTCACGCGCTCTCAGGATGCTTGGACTCCTGCCTCACCCCGAGCCACATTCGTCTCCCCTGCACCCCGAAAGCCAGACCCCAGAGCACTTCATGACCACTGATTTCCGCCTTTCCAGGGGGAAGGAACTACTATGAGCCATATTTGCTCAGCAGCTGTCATGCACTCATTCTAATTCTGTAAACTCACGCTTTATCCTTTCACAGAAAATAAAGCTGAGGTCCCCAGGGACAAGGAGGTTAGGACCAGACCCGCCTCTGACATTTGCCGGGCTCAGAAAAAGATGAAATGCTAGTCGACACACCACGTGCCTAACTATGTGAAAGCTATAAATCTAATTTTACTTTGTGAAATAAAACGTTTGCCTCTTAGTTTCACAGATACTCATAATAACAAAAATGAAAACTATCTGTTAAAGCTATGCATTTTATATGACATAGAGTTGGCAAAATATCAGAGTGAAGGAATATTTCTACTCTCGCGCACGGATAGGAATCCTCTCGGTGGACCAGGGATTTTTAGATGAAGTAACAATGCAATGAAGATAAATAGTTCAGCGGGATATGGTGCCGCTCACATCTAATCCCAGAGCTCAGGAGACCGAGGTGCGAGGATTGCTGTGAGTTTAAGGTCAGACTGAGCTACACAGCAGAGACCTTGTATCCAAAAAAAGGAAAAAAAAAAAAAAAAGCTTTAAAAAAAATGGTAAAGAGGGGCTGGTGAGATGGCTCAGTGGTCTAAAGCACCTACTTGGAATAAGCTTGGCAAAGCACAGGGACCGCGGTTCAATCCCCCAGCACCACATGCCAGCCAGCCCCGCCCCCTGGTGGGCTGAGCTGGCCACACACACACACACACACACACACAAATAAATAAAATTTAAAAAAAAATGGTAAAGAGAGGCCGGGGAGATAGCTCAGTGGAATAGGGGAGATAGCTCAGTGGAATAAGTGCCTCCCTGGCAAGCTCAAGGGCCTGAGTTCAACCCCCAGTTCTGCCAAAAACAAAACAAAAAAGAAAAAAAATGGTAAAGAGGGGGCCTGCCCCATAGCTCAGTTCTTTAAGTGGCTGCTTCAACAAAGTTCGATCCCCACAACTCAAGCCAGGCAAACCTGCCCTGAAGGCATTCGGAGAAAAACAAAAATGGTAAAGAGGGGTGGGGAGATAGCTCTGTGGTCTAAGCACTTGCCAAGCAAGCACAGGGACCTGAGTTTGATCCCTGGCGCTGGCCGGGTAAACCTGGGTGCACTGTCCGGGTCCCCAAAACCAGGTGTGGATGGCACCCATCTGTAATCCCAGCGCTGGGGCGGCTGAGGCAAGAGGATCACTAGGAGTCCGAGTTGCGTAGTGAGACCCTGTATCAAATGAACAAATAAATAAATAATTTAAAATTTTTTAATTCTTACAAAGTTATGTTAAAATATTAAAAGAATACAATTTACATTTTAACAGAAAGGCAAGAAAAGGCAAGAAAAAGCTTATGGAAGAAATACATAATTTATGAATAATTTATCAGTCTTTAAATTTTTAAAAAATCTTTTCTGTATTGCCCGATTTCGGTGGCCCACTCAGCACGGGCCTAGCACGACACGTGGTACCAGGAATCGAACCCAGGTCCTTGTGCTTGCCAAGTGCTTAGACTGCCAAGCTATCTCCCCACGAACTGTAGAATTTTTTGATGATTCAAAAAAACTGCTCAAGAGCACCAGCAGCACCTAAAATCGTCAAAAAAATTCTCACAATATTAAAAAAAAAAACTGCTTGATTTGTTTGTTTTTAACCTTTACATTAGTTTTTATTCATTTATTTTTGTGGTACTTGGGATCAGACTCAGGATCTTGTGCTTGCCAGGCAGATCCTTAAGCCGCTGAGCTATATCCCCAGTGACTTGTTTTTGAGGTGAGGTCTTACCATATACCTCAGGCAGGCTGGCCTTGAACTCAACAATTCTCCTGCCAAAGCCTCCTGAGTGCTGGGGGTATGGATGTGTGCCACCACATCCAGCTCAATAACTATTCATTATTTCTTTTCTTTCTTTTTCATTTTTATTTTTGAGACAGGGTCTCTGCTGTGCAGTGCAAGCTGGCCTTGAGCTCACTTTGTACCCCAGTCTGGTCTTGACCTTGTAACGATCGTCAGCCTCCCTAGTGCTGGGATTACAGCCGCATACCACTGCACCCAACTAATAACGACATATTTTTAATTAAAAAATATTTTATGTATTTATTTGGTACAGGGTCTTGCTACACAGCTCAGACTCATAGTGATACTCCGGTCTCAGCATCCCCAGCACTGGGATTATAGGTGTGCACCAATACGCTTGGTTTCATTGGCTGGCTTGGCGCAGGTCCGGCAAGGCATACAGTATTGGGAATTGAACCTAGGTCCTTGCACTTGCCAGGCAGGTACTTAGACCGCTGAGCTATTGCCCCAGCCATACTTTTTTTAACTTTCCCTTTATTTTTATTTTATTTTTTTTCTTTCTAGCACCTGGGATCAAACTCAGGACCTTGCACTTGCCAGACAGGCGCTTATGCCCCTGAGCTATATCCCCAGCCCTCCTACATTTTTTTAAAGTTATTTTTCTTCTCTTTTTTACCATTCTGGGGATTAAACTCATGACTTCTACACTGAGCTACATCCTCAGGCCTATTTGTTTTTATGAGCAAACTGAAATTTATTTTATTCCATGTCATTTTCTTTCTTTCTTTTTATTTATTTATTTTGTTTTTTTTAGGGAAGCATCTACAGGGTGTTCAGGGTCCCACTATTAGATCGGACTTGTAGTGATCCACCTATTTACAGCCTCCCAAGAGCTGGGATTACAGGCATGCGCCACCATGCCCAGTCTCAATTGCCACCTCAGCATGCCCCAGAGGTGGGCCCAGCACAGCAGTCTTGGGGATCAAACCCCCAACCCCTGAGCCTGTTTGCAGGCGCTTTAATCTGCTGAGCTATTTGACTGGCCCTCCGTGTCATTTTCAATGTGTTTAAAAATCTTGTAAATCAGTGAGAGTCCCACTTCTCTGGGACAGCATGCCACAGGTACTGAAATGTGTCACCTTTCCCTACAAACCCCCAAAATTCATCTAATCCTACTAATTTTACAAAGCTAGCTGTCCGTTAAGTTGGTCTTCTGCTCAGATGCCTACTTTTTTCTTTTCTTTATTCAAGGAAGGGAAGTTAAAATATCTGAAACAGGGCAAAATATTCGTTGAACTTTTCTTAGATTTGTATAGGCTGGAGTGAGAGAATGCCTCACTGACTCCAGAGCATAGGGCACGGTTGAGATGGATTACTTTCTTACAGCTTTGTGAAAAAGGGGAGAGGGAAAAAAACCCTAGAGGAAAGAAAAAAAAAATGACTAGAAAGATTCAGAGGCGAAGATCCAGTATATAGAGGCTAACCTCTTCCTAAATGGAGATTTTGGCTCCTAAAAATGGGAAGGGCATGCATGACTAGGCAGCCTGTATCGGATTTGGAATCCACCACATGGAATAAAGCCATTTGAAGAACAGCTCCTCTTAATTTTGAGGGTAGATAAAATACTTGGGGAGAGTGTGAAACGAGAAGAGAAAAAGCCCCCACTGATGACAAAATGCTAGCATCAGAGTAGTATAAAAAAAATTTCAGCTGAGGGGCCAGCGAGATAGCTCAGCGGACTAAAGCGCCTGCTTAGGCAAGCTTAGGCAAGCGTAGGGACCAGAGTCCACCCCAGTTTGCACCAGCACCCCCTCCCCCCAGGGCAGACTGAGCCGGCCAGAGTCTGGGCATAGTGGCATACTTATGTTTGTAATCCCAGTGCTGGGGAGGCTGAAAAGAGGAGGATCACTGAGTCTGAGCTGTGTAGTGAGACCCTGAAATAATCAAATACATTTTTTTTTAATGAAAAAAATCTCAGCTGAATTTTTAGTGGTGCTGTAGGGCCATAAACTTTGACCAAGGAAAATAGTAGAAAAGGCTAAAAGATGGACTTGAAGACTATGGATTTTGACCCTTGATTTTTTTTTTAACATTTATTTATTTATTTTTATTTATTTATTTATTTATTTTGCGTGCGGCCAGCTCAGCCCACCAGGGGGCGGGGCTGGTTGGCTTGTGGTGCTGGGGATTGAACCGTGGTCCCTGTGCTTTGCTTAGCTTAGCTTGTTCTAAGTAGGTGCTTTAGACCACTGAGCCTTCTTAC